TATCTGAACCCAAGAACATAATCTATGAGATGTGATATATAGTTTCGGCAAGTACATAAAACTGTTGATTTTTCAAAAATGTTAGTGTCCTTGTAAAGGTGCCCATACACTTTACAACCCTCGCAAGACTTTTGTCTTGCGAGGGTTGTAAAGTACTTTAAAAAAACGTACGATCTGCCCATCTTGGACAGGCAGATCGTACTTGCGATACCTGAGGGGCGGGCTTACTATGACTGTAATGAGGGGCGGGCTTACGTTGACTGCAAACGGGCAGTGTGCGCGTGCGCACACCGGCCCGTTTGGCAGTTGTCGAACCAACAGGCCACTAACTCACCAAGAATCGTACGATTTCCGGCGGGTTTTCTAGCATGCTGGTTCGACGGAAGACGTGCGACCGTACAGTAAAAACGGTCGCACGCCTTCCATACACTGCGCGATTCTCGTACGATCTCGGTATTTCCCGCGATTCTCCTACGAGAATCGTGCAGTGCATGGGCACCTTTACTTCCTCTGCACTGAACTCAAATTTCAAACAATGGTTTCACCTTTCCTGGCTATCCTTGGTGAATCACAATACAACACCCCACTATGTAATGGAGATCAGTATAACATACTTATTAACTGTCCTTAATTTTCAGGAACGGTCCCTCTTTTTATTCAGTTGTCCCACATGTAAGCCCTCACGGGCAGGGCCCTCCTCACCATCTTGCCTTGCATTGTGATTGTAATGTTTTCTTTATATTGTAAATGCTGCACAAACTGTTGGCGCTATATAAATCCTGTATAATAATAATAACAGCTGTGTCAAGGGATCACAGCTTGAGGCTCGCTGAGGGTTACTGCACATTTGCCGTAATACAGGACTTAGGACTGATTCCAATGAACTTGCCCTGCTCCTAGCAGCTTGCACTCACGAGACAACAGGAGATAAAGCTTTGTCCCATGGGCCGCTCCTTCCCCGCCATGCCCCCTACTCCTTGCATCACGTTGCTCTGCACTGTAAAGAATGAATCGAGTTGTTGGCAAAAAAAAAAAAATCAAAAGCGCTATGAGCGCCCGGTGTCTCTCCTCCCACACCGCCTATCACAGTCCGGCAGATCGGTGTGTGGGCGGAGACAGGCCGTGCTGTCACAGGAGGCTGGGCTCTCCTCTCTACAGCCTCCTGTGACAGCGTGTCAGAGAGGAGAGCAAACATAAAGGCCCCGTTCCCACTGCGCGATATGCAAATCTCGCGTTTGTCGCGCGATATGCAAATCTCGCGTTTGTCGCGCGATTTGCATATTGCGCGATATCGCGAGATTTGCCGTGCGATATCGCGTTCAAGCTTGCATTGAGCAAGCTTGAATCGCGGCTAAATCCGCTCCAAAAAGGGTCCTACTGTAGCGACACAGACCCGCGACAGCAGGACCCTTTGCCCCATTGAAATGCATTGGAGCGCGATATCGCGCGGTAATTTGCAGCGATATCGCGGGAATTACCACGCGATAAATCGTTCAATGTGAACGGGGCTTTAGTGATCAGTGATCACTGAGTGTTTGTAGATAATTGAGGATATGGTATGGCTACTATATCCTCAATTATGAATGAATGGGAGTGATCTACATCCCCTCCTGTTCATTCATAGTTGTAGTTATTGTAAACATACCGTGTTCCCAAGTTATCAATGAACAGGAACACTCAGAGAGGATTCCTGTTCATTGAGAACAGGGGATACAGAAAATGAGATGGGGAACTCTGTGTCCTCAATCTCTTTTTCTATTATAAAAGGGAAATATCAGGGATCTGTTTAGACCACTAATATCTCACCAAAGCCCTAAAAGTAAAGTAAAAAATAAAAATATTTAATAAAAAATAAATTAATAAAAATAAATATTTAAAAAAATTAAAAAGTTTATAAAAAAATAAAATGTTTAAAAAATGTGAAAAATTAAAATAAAAACATTTTCGGTTTCGGTCTGACAATTTTTTTTATTTCGGTTTCGTTTTTTAAATTTCTATTTCGATGCACCTCTAGTAATAATGGCAGGATCACCAGGTAAGAATAAAGGCCTAATAAAAGGAAACTAATGCAGCCAGCACATCTAAGAACTGGTAAGCTGCAATATATTACATTGGTGTTTCTGGCATGAAATAATTGCTAATAGACAGTATGCTAGTTATATACAATGTATACCATATTAAGTAGATGTATATAAACTTGCATGAACACATTTGTGCAAAACATCAGTTGCATGTCACTTTCCTACCCCATCCCCATGTTTATTGGCTACCATGTGACGAGGCACTCCAATCAGTGACTGGGATTGGCTTGACAGGGAGTGAATTCCTGCACTCCTGTGGTGGAATAAATCTGCAAGGAGAATGGAGTGAGGCTATTTTATTCATTGAAAAAATAAAAGGCATTCTCTTCTAAGGCTTCCATTACACTGTGATTTGGGATTCCTTCCGTTTCGCTGTGGCCGCTGTACATGTTCATGTTAATGACCGGGTGACAGTGGTCGCATCTGTAAGCAGCAGCCTGAATGTTATTGTATCTGTTAAAATTCTTGCCAATTCATGTGAAGCGGCTGAAATTCTCAGTGGTGCCACAAGAGGGGTACGGCCCGCACTGGGTGACACTAAAATGGCTGACCCCCCGCCTACACTCCACTGAAACTGCACTCCTAAAACTCACTAAGGACTTACTCACAGCTAAAAACAATGGCCACTACTCCTTACTCCTGCTATTAGACCTTTCTGCTGCTTTTAACACTGTTGACCACCTCATCAAAAAACTCCACTTGCTTGGCCTTCAAGACTCTGCTTGCTCATGGTTTTCCTCCTACCTATCTGAGCGCTCCTTTAGTGTCACCTTCAAATCTAACTCCTCCCCTCCTCTTCCTGTAAGGGTCCCCCCAAGGCTTTGTCCTTGGACCCCTTCTCTTCTCTATCTACACCTCCTCCCTTGGTCAGCTGATAACCTCACATGGCTTCCAATACCATCTCTATGCCGATGACACTCAAATATATCTCTCCACATCTCAACCCCTCAGTGTCCTTGCGTGCCACTAATCTACTAACTGACATATCCATCTGGATGTTGCAACACTTCTTAAAACTCAACCTTTCTAAAACTGAGCTCATGATATTTCCTCCCGCCCGTGCACCTTTCCCCAACTTTTCCATTGAGATTGTTAACACAACTATTCAACCCTCCCCACATGCCAAGATCCTAGGTGTCATTGACCTTTCTTCCTCACATCCAAATCCTGCCACCTTTACCTTCGTAACATCTCCAAAATACACCCCTTCCTCACCAAAGAACCCTCAAAACTACTCATCCACTCACTTGTTATCCCTCGTCTTGACTATTGCAACTCCCTCCTCATTGGCCTACCTCTACACAGACTATCATGAATGCAGCTGCCAGACTCATTCACCTAACCAACCGCTCAGTATCTGCAAACCCCCTCAATCCCTCCACTGCCTTCCACTCGCCCAAAGGATAAAATTCAAAATATTAACAACCACTTACAAAGCCATCCACAACTCTGCCCCCGGATATATCTCAAACCTGGTCTCAAAGTATCATCCTAACCATCCCTTCCGCTCTTCAAAAGACCATCTGCTTTCCAGCTCCCTCATCAACTCCTCCCATGCTCGCCTCCAGGACTTCTGTAGAGTCTCTCACTATGGAACTCTTTACCCCGACCTGTCAGTCTCTCTCCTACTCTGACTGCCTTTAGGCGATCCCTCAAGACTCTTCTCTTCAGGGAAGCCTATCCCACCTCAACCTAACCACTGAACAATCACTTTCTCAAACAATCATCCCAGCACAGCTACCTCCTCATGTATCACTTGCCCCTCTCTTTTAGAATGTAAGCCCTCACGGGCAGGGCCCTTCTTGCTATCTAGTCTTGAATTGTAACTGTAATGTCTTCCTTATATTGTAAAGCGCTGGGCAAACTGTTGGCGCTATAAAAATCCTGAATAATAATCGCACAGTCCCATGCGATTAACACACGGTACCACGCTAAATTGAATCTACCGCAAATTCTGGTGTGGGAGGTGTGTTGCATTGCCATTTATTTGAATGGCACCACAAACGCACCTCCCACCCACAGTTCGGTCGCCCGCACCAGAGCGCACGGTACAGCAATGCAACTTGGGTCACGACTTAATGACCAAGGACAAATGTGGTTCCTGAGGTTACATGGGCTAAGAACCACTGCTCTATGCCATGCCCAATATTCAGCACAATTTATCCACACCCACTTTTGGCTCCCACTGCATGTTTTCTCCTTTTCAAAGTTGGGAGGTATGACTTTACAACCCGTTCACACCAGGACTCATCGCTCAGTAAGAGGTGCAACATTCTGATTTCAGCATATCACATAGCGGAACTTTTTCTTTTTTTAAGGAACTTTGTTTCAGCACGCGCCACCGCAATGTGGTACCATGTACTTATTTAATAAGCAAGCAAGGCAAATTGTGTAAACTGGCACAGCGCTGGGCATGCATGTCCAAGGCACCTGTAAAAGGACCCTTCGGCAAAGTTGGAACTCCTCCTGCCATATCCCTGTGATCATCCCTGTACACACGCTGACTTAGAAATTAAGTTCATCACGTTGCAGGCAGCGATGTTCACCGGTTAGAGAGCAAGCCAGGAACCAGCAGTGAGCCAGAGCCCCAGATAAGAGCAGGTCAATGTACAGAGCCACGCTCTATGACAGCTCGTCTCCTGTGACCTAGGCCCGCGTGCACACTCACAGCAGCGATCGATCCACCATCCCGGCTGCGCTGGTGCCCGCACCGTATCCATCCACACACAATGCACAGCGCGAGACGTCATGGAAAGAAGTACGTCAAAACCAATT